GTAAAAAAAACAAGACTACCTTTACCCTAATTCTAGATTTGAAGCTTTCGTGACTGCAATGATTCATATTCTTAGGTTTTTTCGGTAAAGTCACGTAGGTAAAAAAATTTAAAATTAATAAAAATAAAATAAAAATCACCACGTTTCGGAGGCAACACAAGCTTCCGTCTTCAGGTGTGACGGTTCCACCTGAATACCTAAGAATACATTTACCCTACCTTTTACCATAGCACAATACAATACAATCGCTCTACCCTACCTTTCACCCTTAGCAGGTAAGGCAACAGGTAAAAAGCAACGAGCCTACCTTTACCCTACCTTTACCCTTATCCCATACACATTACCCGATTACAGAGAAATTACTGGGGTACAACACATGAAAAAGGTTAATAACGGTAAATTCTTGGTAGAGCGCTTTGTTTTATTTACCTTAGCTCTTGGCATGTCGAAACCTTTACCCTTTTACCCGGTAAAAAAATTAACCCGTAAAAAAAAGTTTTTCACTATAAATCCTTTATATACGTGGCATCTGGGCGGCTAGAGTCCTCTCGTCCTCTGGCTTGAGATGGCTGCCACCTATGGGTCAAATGATTGTGTGCCAGCATTAACCAATTGGTAGGTAAATATAAAAAAAAATTTCCTAAACGGTGTAAAATTTTGGATAAAAAATTTCACGAAAATGTCAGCTCGATTGGATCACGGGAAGTGGGTTAAAAAACGACCGAAAGATTTGCACGGTCCTAAGCAAGCAAGCAAGCGAACTTTATATAAAGGATTTAAAAAGGTAATTTACCTTACCTTGCCGAGGCCTAACTTCAAGGGCTCTACCAGACCCGCATACAACGCTGACAACGCCGTACCCCCAGCATCACAACAGCAGCACTGGATCTCTGCCGATCAACTCTGCCCTCTGCTGTCTCTGTTGAACATGACAGCAGTCGTAGCTTCATCGACACAGCTCAACTCCGCCATCTGCTGTCTCTGATCATAAACAGCAGCCGCAGCATCATTGATTTAAATTTCGATTTAAAGCTTTCGTGACTGCAGGGATTCCATCTTCTTGGTTCTTTCGGTAAAGTCACGTAGAAGGGAAATAATAAAATAATAAAAAATCTAACATAATAAAATAATTCTCACGACGTTTCCCTCTCTCCCTCTCTCGCTCTCAAGGAGAGAGCGAGAGAGGGAGAGGCAGAGAGACTCCAGGAGGAGGGTGAGCCACCGGCGTTACCGACAATTGCCCAAGGTCTGCGGTCCTCTCTATGGGCAGTTGTTTTTGTTTGACACTAAAATACTTGTGCAGGTGCTCGCAGTTGCTAGTTAGGGAGGCCTTCATCCAGCAGTGGATTGACCATGGCTGACGAAGACCAATAAATATGGAATCGGTGCAGTTGATTAATTGTGCTAACAACTCAGACCACAACACCACGTCTCTCTGTACACACACACACACACACTGTTTAATGTTTATATATATATATAACAATCAGCGGTACATTTGAAAATATTATCTCGACGTTTAAAAAGTTTCGGCCACTTTGGTTGTACATCGTAACTTAAAGTCGACTCGGCAAGCCGTTCAAGTTTCTCTCTGAACCATCGCCGCCTCTCGCAAGAGACCCGCGTGCAATTCCGCTCCACGGCGCGTCAGCCTACGCCAAACTTCTTTCGCACCGCACGTAGCCAGCCGTGCCGCATTCGAAGGCGCGCACGTCGGAAAACCACTGGCCCTGTCTGCGTGGGGTGGCGCGCAGATTGCTGCCGCATCTTCCGCAACGGCAAAGCATTCCCTGACGGCGTTCTCTGGAAGAGGAAAGCGAGTCTGTGTGTCTGTCTGTCTGTCTGTGTGTGTGTCTGTCTGTCTGTGTGTGTGTCTGTGCGCGTGTGTGTGTGTCTGTAGGGGAGCGGTAGTGTAGCGGTTAGCGCGCTGCGAATCTGGCGACCCGGGTTCGATTCCCGCTCACGGCAAACACCAGCGACGATTATCTGAACCGGTCCTGGGCCTCCCCTAGGTCGACTCAGCCTCGAATTAGTACTTGGTGCGGTGCGTAAACATCGCCGCTAGGGAGACAAAGGCGGCCGGGCGTGGTGTTGGCCACCCACCCCCTCGTGTGCCGTACGGCCTTTATAGGTGCTCGCTAACAGCACTTGCCCTACAGTCTGTTAAGGCTACACGGGGGATATGTCTTTGTTGTATGTAGGGGCCACAAGTGGTGCATCAGCCACTCATCTCAGTCAGTCGACCCGTGACACCTGCTGGGTCTGCCCCGTGACCTCCTGCCAGCGCGCGTTCGACACTTCACGTGGCCTCAAGGTGCACATAGCCTGGCACAAGCGTCGTGGTGACGTCACCGCCACTTAGTGGCGAATGGCGTTTGTTGTTGTGCCTTCATAGGTGCTCGCTAACAGCACTTGCCCCAACAGTCTGTTAAGGCTATACCGGGGATCGTTGTGTGTCTGTGTGTCTGTGTGTCTCTGTGTGTATGTGTCTGTGTGGCTGTGTGTGAGTCTGTGTGGCTGTGTGTGTGTCTGTGTGTGTCTGTGAGTCTGTGTTTGTGAGTCTGTGTGTGTCTGTGTGTGTCTGTGTGTGTGTCTGTGTGAGTATGTGTGTGTCTGTGAGTCTGTGTCTGTGTGTCTGTGTGTGGCTGTGTCTGTGTGTCTGTGTGTGTGTCTGTGTGCGTGCGCGCGTCGTGGCAATAGCGCGCACTCCCGTGGGAGCGACGGCACGGTGGTTCGCGTGCTGACGACGTGAACACCGCAACCGCATTCCGCTCACGGCCACCAACACCGCTGGCGATTTCATCTGAACCTCTCCTGGAACTCGCCGAGCTCGACTCGGCCTCAAATGAGCGCCTGGTGCGGTTTTGTAAAAGTCGCCACGAGGGAGACAAAGGCGGCCAAGGGCGTGGTGCTGGCCACCCATCTCCTCGTGTGCCGTGCCGGCCTTCATAGGTGCTAATCGCGAACAGCACTTGCCCGAAAACGTCTCTTGAGACTATATGGGGGAGCTTTGTCTTGGTCGTGGTCAGAACGCTGGACTTGCAATCCAGAAGCCGCTGGGTTAATCTCCCTACGTCTACCAGCAGTAGCATGAGCTAGCAATTGCACGCCTGCACCTTTAACCTCTTCCCTCGGGCCTGAGAGGTGGTCTCTAAAAATCCGTGACTGAATTGCCACCCTGGTGGAAAACGTCTTCTCGAAAATGCATTTAGGGGCGCCGCGGTGGCTGGGAAATGTTAACTACCTCGCCTGGTGTACAGGAGGTCGTGGGTTCGATCCAGATCCCGACCCAGTCGCCTGCTGTATATTTGGAGTTTGCAGTGTCTCTCTCTCCCCAAAGTCGTGTGGATTTTTCTCCGGGTCCTCCGGCTTTTCCCCTCCACGTTTAGAAACATTCCCTTAAAATATATTTGGCTGCTATGAATGTCCACGCGATAAGCCACTTTGTTGAGCTATCATTTGTGGCCAAGTCGCTTCTGCAAAAAGAGCTACACAGTTCAGCGAGCCTTACCTGGCAAAATAAAAAAATAAATAGTCGAATAATTTAGTTTTAAATAGTTTATTTCACACCTCTATCGAATTGCTTAAATGGAAGTTGAGCATTTCATGGGGCACTCCCAAAAACATAACGCCTCCTGTTATTTCTCCGGGCAGTTGTGTGTGTGTTTTATTATTATTATTGCTTACTGGTAAAATATTTCACACAATTAATCTTTGAGACCAGCGGCACGCCGGAAACACGCACCCTCGGATTTACACCGAGGGACAGAAAAGGAGCCAAGTGCGTTAGAGGACATCTGCAAGCGAGAGACGCGATACGGAATTGACTGTGACAGAAACACTGGCGGTGGCCAAGGATGAGCAGTGGAGTGGCGGGCGATTCATCGGAACGCGCCCGGGCAGGAGACGGAGCGATTTAAAATCGCGGATTTATGCATCCCCCACGAGAGGAAAAACGACGACAGCCACGATATTTCACATTTCACATCTCCGTCACCTTTTTTTCAGCGTCTCTCTCGTCCACTCGAGCTCGCTTGTGCGCGAGCGAACTGCGCGGGGGACCTCCTCGTGACCTTCCCGGCAGACTGGGACATTTACTTCGCGAGAAACTTCACCACACAGCCGCACAACCGCCACCAACACACAACCACCGCTGCCACCACCACCACCGCTGCCACCAAACCACCACCGCCACCACCATCACACAACCACCGCTACCACCACCACCGCTGCCACACAACCACCACCGCCACCACTGCCACCACCACACAACCACCGCTGCCGCCACCACCATCGCCACCACCGCCGCTGCCACCACGTGCCACGCGACGCAACTGTTTGCGTGCCGCCTTAGAAAAAAACAAACCACCCAGACGACTTTGCGCCACGGCGATGTCGCTGTGCCGGATGTCGCCACCACGACTCCGCAAGTTACCCAGGAGGCCCTTCTGCCCGCTTCCCTGATGATTATATCGACCGTATAGATGCCTTCATCCTGCAGCGGATTCACCGCGTTCCCGAGAGAGCAAATGCCACAATCATCCGGCCGCGGAACCAGCCGTGATTCGGCCGCCCGACAAACAGCTGGGAAGTCGCGAGTTGACCTCGCGACTTGGGGTCAACTCACCCCCATCGCCTCTCCTGGCTCCGTTCAAGTAACTGCCGCTTGATGCGACGAGTCACCCGTGGGTCATCCTGTGGATAGACCCACTAACTCCCCCCCCCCCCCCCCCCATCGTGGGAGTGTGTAATTTTCCTCCACTGGCTCATTTTTTGGTAAAATTTAGACCACGACAGCAGCCCACGCACAGCCGACATCGCAGGCATCTTTAGCGTCCAAGGTGAACATGAAGGGGCGCGTTGTCTCACACTGTCTCACGCTATCTCGCGGTGTCTCACGCTATCTCGCGGTGTCTCACGCTATCTCGCGGTGTCTCACGCTATCTCGCGGTGTCTCACGTCGTCGTCACAGTCAATACGGTCACCAAAATCGTGCGCGCGCGTTCACGCGTGCTTCTGCGGCCGTCTGGAACGCTCTTTCCTTTGTGATATTAGGAGGCCGCTGGGAGCTGAGATGCACTTTTAAACCACCTCGATCAGAGCCCGGGCAGTCAAAATGACAAGAAGAGCCATTTTTGTTTTTGAATTCATTAACAAACTCAATAGTTTTAAGAGCCGCAATGCGATGTGAATACGATACGGTTGGTCGTTAATAAATAACTTGTCACGAAGCGGCCCTTAGAAGAGCCGCAGCTAGCCGACCCCCGACTGGACATCGATGATAAAGAGCTTCAGTGCTCATCGGATTCCTCCAGTATAAATAGATATTCTGAGATTGAAAACTAATTTCTTGAGAACTGCCTGCTTGTGTCGTTGTCCTTCCGCCCGCACCGCCGATTGGCTACGTACGGCGCGAAAGAAGTTCAACGCAACGTAGACATTGTCAGGACAGGAGACATCCTTGCAAGGGCATGGGGGCGAGATGGGTACGGCACACACGTGGTGCTGGCCACCCACCCCCTCGTGTGCCACGCCGGCCTTCATAGGTGCTGCTCGCTAACAGCACTTGCCCCAACAGTCTGTTAAGGCTACACGGGGGGTCTTTGTCTTTGTATGCACCATAACTGCATGGCAATCGCTGTGACGCGGCTTGCTCGATGGTGATTGGTTGGAAAGTTTGAAAGAAAGAGAGAGAGAAGGCGGGGAGATTTGAAAGAGGCAAGGGGGGGGGGGTCCTGTCGAGGCGGCTAGAAGGGAGCAGAGGGGTTGGTGGGAAGGAAGGGGATGGGTGGAGATGAGAGAGGGGGGAGGAGAGGGGGGAGGGGAGAGAGAAGACAAGGGACTGGTGTTGGCTGGTGGTGGGTACTGGAAGTTGTTGTTGAGTCGAGGACAATAAAAAAACTTTATCCAAGAAGTGTCGCACTTGGAGTCTTTCATCGCACGTGCGGTCACGCACCGCCGCGGTATTAACCAGGGCGGGCTGCCGGTTTCGAACCGCGAACGCCCCCCCCCCCCCTCACCACTGGGCCGTGGCGTCACAGCCGACGATGGAGGTGGAGGAGGTGGTGGTGGTGGGCCCTGAGTTTTTAAACGACGCGCATCATCGACAAACGTAAACCGGTGCCCTGTTGATTTAGACACCGCTCGAGTGAAGCGCACGTTGGAGGGAGGGAGGGGAGGGAGGGAGGGAGGGGAGGGAGGAAAGGAGGGGAAGGGGAGGGAGGGGGAGAGGGATTTGATGGAACCGGCAGAACGAGGCATTTGTGTCCACCTCCACGTCCGTCCCGCCGGTCATTTCATTTCTTTTTCTGCCGGTACTTGAGTATTTCCTCGACGTTAATGCCATGCGCTGAATCCCTGCGCGCACACGCACACAGCAAAGATAAAGAGCCCCCGCATAGCCTTAACACATTTTCGGGGCAAAGTGCTGTTAGCGATGGAGCAGCTATGAAGGCCGGCACGGCACACGAGGGGTTGGTTTGGCCAGCACCACGCCCGGTCGCCTTTGTCTCCCCAGTGGCGATGTTTACGCACCGCCGCAGGTACATATTTGAGGCTGAGTCGACCTCGGCGAGGCGCCCAGGACCGGTTCAGAATAATCTTCACTCGGCGTTGGCCGCGAGTGGGAATCGAACTCGGGTCGCCGGGCTCGTAGCGTGGCGCGCCGAACGACGACCCCACCGCTCCCCACGCACACGCACCATATAGGACTGCAGAGCTTGGGGGCCGTCCATAAATGACGTCACGCGATTTTGGACGATTTTTGACCCCCCCTTCCCCTTCGTCCCACGGCGTCAAAAAAAGTCAGACCCCCCTCAAATATAACGTCACAAAGCTCTGCCCTCACCAAAAAAAAAACATGCTTCAAATCGCTTTAAACTATTGTCATTGTAGTGCGTATTTAATGTGGCGCTGCACTCTGATGTTGTAGGGGAAAACATTTATTAAAACGTCTATTTAATTAAGTAGAACGTGTTGTCTATATTTATTCAAAGTTGCGCATTTCAAGATGTGACATCACATTTCTCACCCCCCCCCCAGGTGCGTGACGTCATTTATGGACTGCGATCGTGAGCAAAGCGTTAGGGGGGGGGGGTAACACCTTACCCTGGCTTCATCTCGGGGGGTACGGGTAGAGGCTTGTTGAGGCCCTGTCGCCCCACCAGCCAGTACGTTTCCTCCACGCCCTTGCCCTGCGATCACACGCGCAGACAGACGCATGCGCCTACAGCCACGCGTCTCCGCAGCGGTCACGTGGTGGCAGCTCGTCTTGAGAGCTCAAGGTGTCGTGGGGTCAAATCCTGACCCCGGGGCGGGCGGGGTGCCGGTCTTAACATATAATTAATAATAATAATTTTAATTTATAAAGCCACCTTAAGCAGTTGTTCTCAGGGCGCTAGCGAAGTCCACACCACCCTCCCCCCCGCCTTAAATCGACGACTTGTACGTTCTGTTTCGATTGAAAGCTTTCATGACTGCAGGGATTCATCTTGTTGGTTCTTTCGGTAAAGTCACGTAGAAGGGAAATAATAAAATAATAAAAATAAAACATAATTATTATTATAAATAAAACAATATTATTATTATATTATGTCTTATTTTCACGTAGAAGGGAAATAATAAAATAAATTGACGTAGAAGGGAAATAATAAAATAATAAAAATACAACATAATATTTTTATTATAATATTATGTTTTATTTTCACGTATAAGGGAAATAATAAAATAAGAAAATTAAAACATAATCTTATTATATCATGTTTTTTTATTATTATTTTATTATTAAAATAAAACATAATATTATTATAATATTATGTTTTATTTTTATTTTTTTATTATTTCCCTTCTACGTGAAAATAAAACGTAATATTATGTTTTATTTTTATTATTTTATCATTTCCCTTCTACGTGTTTTTACCGAAAGAACCAAGAAGTTGTACGTTCTGCTTGATGGAAAGTCGATTGGATGTCCTGCCGTGGGAATGTGGAATGTCCAGCGAGAGAGAGAGAGACGAGCGCTGTTTCCCTCGGCAACGACCCCGGCGCGGAGCAGCGGGCAAGACGGCGCGTGCCGGAGCCGCACCCCGCGATCATCCCCAACCACCACCACCAACAACAACCAAAGACCCCCCGTATAGCCTGTAGCAGACTGTTGGGGCAAGTGCTGTTAGCGAGAACCTATAAAGGCCGGCACGGCGCACGAGGGGGTGTGTGGACAGCACCACGCCCGGCCGCCTTTGTCTCCCCAGTGGCGATGTTTTTACGCACCGCACCAGGTATTCATTTGAGGCCGAGTCGACCTAGGGGAGGCCCAGGACCGGTTTAGATAATCGTCACTGGCGTTTGCCGTGAGCGTGAATCGAACTCGGGTCGCCGGGTTCGTAGCGCAGCGTAGCGCTCACCGCTACACCACCGCCACCACCTCCAACAACAACAACAACCAGTGACGATTATCCGAACCGGTTCTGGGTGGGGGTGGGGGATGACGCCTTCTCTCCCCCCCCCCCCCCCCCCAGGATCGACTCAGCCTGAACACGAGTAAACCTGCGAGTGGAGTGTTGCCGCCGCCGTCACCTTGAGCTCGGTGTTGCCCCGCAGCTCGTACTTGTAGCCCTTGTCGAGCGAGTCGAGGATCGTGACGGTCGAGCGGTTGATGTGGATGCGGCACGCTGAGGTCGGGCGGCGAGGACAGGGGGCGAGATGAGAGACAGAGAGAGAGAGACACAGAGAGAGACACAGAGACAGAGAGAGACAGAGAGACACAGACAGAGAGACAGAGAGAGACAGAGAGAGACAGAGAGACAGAGAGAGACAGAGAAGAGAGACAGAGAGACAGAGAGACAGAGAGACAGAGAGAGACAGAGAGAGACAGAGAGAGACAGAGAGACAGAGAGAGACAGAGAGAGACAGAGAGACAGAGAGAGACAGAGAGACAGAGAGACAGAGAGACACAGAGACAGAGAGACACAGAGACAGAGAGACACAGAGACAGAGAGACACAGAGACAGAGAGACAGAGAGAGGGAGACAGAGAGAGACAGAGAGAGACACAGAGACAGAGAGACACAGAGAGACAGAGAGACACAGAGAGACAGAGAGACACAGAAAGACAGAGACAGAGAGACACAGAGAGACAGACAGAGACAGACAAAGAGACAGACAGAGAGACAGAGACACACAGAGAGACAGAGACACACAGAGAGACAGACAGAGACAGACAGAGAGACAGAGAGAGAGACTTTGACTTTTAAACAACTTTTATTTCCGCCAGCAGCAAAAGCACTGGAGGCGATTTCAATATGAAATACACAAAGTCACCAGCAAATAAATGAAAATAAATGCTACAAATCGACGCGCTGTGGCGCTAGAAGCACCGCACACAACACGAAAGAAAAGCCACGTGGTTGTGGTGTCATCGCGCACGCCACGGTGACGAGCGAGCGCTTCAGAAGGTGAACACGAGGATGCCGTCCACGCTGGTACAAAGGGCTTTTCAGAGAGTCAGAAAGAGACACAGAGAGACAGAGAGAGACAGAGAGAGACAGAGAGAGACAGAGAGAGACAGAGAGACAGAGAGAGACAGAGAGACACAGAGAGAGACAGAGAGACAGAGAGAGACAGAGAGAGACGGAGAGAGAGACATCTCTCACGCACACGCGTGCGGGGAACAGCGCTGCTGCTGCTGCTGATGGTGTCGGTGGTGAGCGGAGCGCCGGGCGGCTAAAACACAGCAAGTTGGCACAGGTGGTGCATCCACACCGTGCCAACCCACGCGGTTTACCCCGCGTTCTTGCACAGGGCAATTGAGTTGTCGCGTCCATACGGCGTACAGCCGTTTTAATACGGACAACAACAACAATTGTGTCTATTTGTTTGTGTTTCTCGCTTGCGATGGGACTTTGTAGGATGAACGTTGAGATGTATAAGGGGCACGGGCGACCAATGAGGTCTGAGAGTTGGTCTGTAGTAAGGTAGGGCACTGATAAGGGGTGGACAGGGTTGTCCATTGGCCAGACATCTCGGTCAGTCGACCCATGGCACCACCTGGGTCTGTCCCGCGACCTCCGGCCAGCGGGCGCTCGACACTTCACGTGGCCTTGAAGTGCACTTAGCCTGGCACAAGCGCCGTGGTGACGTCACCTAGTGGCGAATGGCGGTTGCTGGTTATACCGCTGATAAGAATAACGTGGTGGTAATGATGGTGGTGATGATGATAATGGTGCTGATGATGATGGTGGTGGTGGTGATGATGATTATGATGGTGGTGATGATGATGATGGTGGTGATGATGATGGTGGCGATGATGATGTTCGTGGTGGTGATGATGATGATGATGGTGGTGATGATGATGATGGTAATGGTGGTGATGATGATGATGATAATGGTGGTGATGATGGTGTTCGTGGTGATGCTGCTGCTGATGATGATGTGATGGTGGTGGGTGATGTGATGGCGATGATGATGCTGTTCATGTTGATGATGATGCTGATGATAATTCTTTGCGGTGGTGTTGTGATGTTAATGATGATGTTCATGGTGATGAATATGACGCTGACGACGATGCTGGTGGTGCTGACGATGTCTATCGTAGATATTCCCGTGATGATAACGACGCTGACGGTGACGGCGGCAGTGACGGACTCACGCATGCCGGTGGACTCCATGCGCGACGCCGTGTTGACCGTGTCCCCGAACAAACAGTAGCGTGGCATCGTGAGCCCCACCACTCCGGCCACGCAGGGACCTGCACCCCCGCATGCACGCAGTCACCCACACAGTCACGCACGCTACCCATCGTGTACTCACGCTACCCATGGTGTACCCACACTACCCATCGTCTACCCACGCAACCCATCCTGTACCCACCATCGTGTACTCACGCTACCCATCGTGTACCCACACTACCCATCGTGTACCCACCATCGTGTACCCATCGTGGCCGCGTACCCACGCTACCCATCGTGTACCCACCATCGTGTACCCACGCTGCCCATCGTGTACCCACCATCGTGTACCCATCGTGTACCCACCATCGTGTACCCATCGTGTACCCACGCTACCCATCGTGTACCCATCGTGTACCCACCATCGTCTACCCATCGTGTACCCACCATCGTGTACCCATCGTGTACCCACCATCGTGTACCCATCGTGTACCCACCACCGTGTACCCATCGTGTACCCACCACCGTGTACCCATCGTACCCGTGTGCAGGCCGATGCGAATGCGCACGGGCACGTCGGGCAGGTGGCGCATCCTGAAGGAGCCGACGCTGCTCAGGATGTCGAGCGACATGTCCGAGATCTCGCCCGCGTGCCTCTTGCCGTTGCGCTTGGGCAGCCCCGAGGCCACCATGTAGGCGTCTCCGATGGTCTCCACCTGCGCACAGCCACCGAGGGGATCTCGGCCGTGAGCGGTGACGCCCGGGTCAAGGTGCCACCCGGGTCAAGGTGCCACCCGGGTCAAGGTGCCGCCCGGGTCAAGGTGCCACCCGGGTCAAGGTGCTGCCTGGGTCAAGGTGCCACCCGGGTCAAGGTGCTGCCTGGGTCAAGGTGCTGCCTGGGTCAAGGTGCTCGGGGCGCCACCGAATCGGCTCAAAGCGGGACCCGCCGATTCGCCGAAACGGATTGGAAATTTGGCGGAGGGCAACTCGACGCCAAGCGAATACGAATATCGGCAAGGGGCCATGGAGATGAAACCAGAGGTCACGGCGAGGGGTGGATGTGAACCCGGAGGTCACGGCGAGCGGTGGAGGTGACCCCGGAGGTCACGGCAAGGGGTGGAGATGAAACCAGAGGTCACGGCGAGGGGTGGAGATGAAACCAGAGGTCACGGCGAGGGGTGGAGGTGAACATGGAGGTCACGCCGAGTGGTGGAGGTGACCCCGGAGGTCACGGCGAGCGATGGAGGTGAACCCGGAGGTCATGGCGAGAGCTTCCCACCTTGTAGACGTCGTAGACCCCGATGATGGCGTCGAAGAGGGTGTAGAGGTCGTTGAGCAGGTCCACGACCTCGATGGGCTCGCTCATCGCCGAGATGGTGGTGAAGCCGACGATGTCGCTGAAGTAGATGGTCACCTCGTCGAAGAATTCGGGCCGCACGGCCGCGCCCGTCTTCAAGGCCTCGGCCACCGACCTAGCGCGGGGGTTCGACAGGGGGGGCGGGGGGGGGGCGGGGGGGGTCAGCGCTGGAGGCCTGAGGAGCACATCGGCTGCCTCTTGGGCGGATTTCACGGTCGGGCGACGTGTTCATTTCGAGCGTTCGCTACGCGCTGCTGCTACAGCGGCTGCTGCTGCCGCTGCTACGGCGAAGATTGTGGTGAAGAAGCGTGGCAGCTGCAGCAGCAGCAGTGCCCGACCCCACCAGGACCACGAGCCTCTTGGGAGGGCCACAGACACAGCGAGGCTGGGTCTGATTTGTGTCGTGCGCAGTTGCCCCGCCTGACTGTCGCCCCACGTGGCCTCTCTCCCACGCGCGTGCGTCTCTCACGGGGGCAGCATCTGCGTGAGCAGCTTGTCCGTCTTCTGCTTCTCCACCTCGAGCTCCTCGGTGCGCTCGCGGATGAGGTCCTCCAGGTTGCTCGAGTACTGCTCCAGCATCCGCAGCATCGAGTCGATGATGTTGGTCTTCTTGCCCTTGTTGATGCTCTTGAACTGCGGCCGCCGAGGGGAAAACAGCGCGAGCGAGCGGGGTTTGTTCCCGTCGCTGGGGGTCACGCGCCACGGGGTGCGTCGACATCGCTGTACGAATTCGGAGGCTCCTGCTCAATACGGAACTGTTGGGGCCGACCACCGGTTACGTTGTCAGTTGTTATCTCTGTGTGTGTTCGGGCGAGCGAGTGAATGTACAAGTGAGCGAGTGAGTGGATGCGTGATGGACAGAGTGGGTGAGTGAGTGGGTGGGTGGGTTCGTGTGTGGGTGAGCGAGTGGGCGAGTATGTGGACGAGTGAATGGGCGGGTAAGCGAGCGAATAAGTGAGCGGGCGACTGAATGAGTGAGCGGGCGGGCGAGTGAGCGGGCGGGACGGGGGGGGCGAGTGAATGGGGGGTGGGCGAGTGAGCGGGGAGGGGGGTGAGTGAGTGGGGGGGGGCGAGTGAGTGGGGGGGGGGCGAGTGAGCGGGGGGGGGGCGAGTGAGGGGGGGGGGCGAGTGAGCGGGGGGGGGCGAGTGAGGGGGGGGGGGCGAGTGAGGGGGGGGGGGGCGAGTGAGCGGGGAGGGGGGTGAGTGAGTGGGGGGGGGCGAGTGAGTGGGGGGGGAGCGAGTGAGCGGGGGGGGGGCGAGTGAGGGGGGGGGCGAGTGAGCGGGGGGGGGGGGGGCGAGTGGGGGGGGGGGGCGAGTGAGGGGGGGGGGCGAGTGAGTGGGGGGGGGGCGAGTGAGAGGGGGGGGGGCGAGTGAGTGGGGGGGGCGAGTGAGTGGGGGGGGGCGAGTTAGTGGGGGGACGAACGAGCGGGGTGGGGAGGGTGGACGAGTGGGTGGACCTGGTCGAAGATGCTGTCGAAGCTGGGCCTGCGCTCGGGCAGCTCGTTCCAGCAGAGCTTCATCAGCTGGATGCACTCGACGGGCGCCTGGTCCATGGACACGGATGGGCGGCACAGCGGCGGCGGCTTGCGCACCTTGCGCACGATCTCTGCACCAGACGCGTCCACACAGGCAAAGGTTCACCCCCTCCCCCCGGCGTAGCCTCAACACACTGTTAGTGGCAAGTGCTGTGAGAGAGCGGCACCCGCGGAGGCTGGCACGGCACACACGAGGGGGTGGTGGGTGGCCAGCACCACGTGCGTGTGTGTCATGGGCCGTTGTCGTCGTGGTGGTGATCGCAGTGGTAGTGGTCATCGTGGTGGTGATAGTGGTCATCGTGGTTGGTGGTCCTCGATCTGATTGTGGGGGTGATCACGGTGGTGGTCGTCATTGTGGCTGTGGTCATGGTGGTGATCATGGTGGTGGTCGTGGTCATGGTGGTGGTCATGGTGGTGGTGGTCGTGGTAGTGGTTGTGGTGGTGGTTGTGGTGGTGATCACGGTGGTGGTGGTCGTGGTCATGGTGGTGGTCGTGGTGGTGGTGGTCGTGGTGGTTGTGGTGGTGGTCGTGGTGGTGGTGGTGGTCGTGGTGGTCGTGGTGGTGGTCATCGTGGTGGTGGTCGTGGTGGTCGTTGTCATGGTCATGGTGATCATCGTGATGGTCATGGTGATCGTGTCCGTTCGGAGCGCCAAGCGGGTACCCTCGGCGCTGAGGTCCACCATGCAGAAGGGCGCCCCGCGCACGATCAGCTCCTGCAGCACGATGGCGAAGCTGTAGGTGTCTCCGCGCGCCGTGCCGCGTCTCGCCACCTCCGCGTCTCGCAGCAGCTCAGGCGCAGACCACAGCAGCTCTGCAGCCACGACGAGCAGCGGTGGGTGGGGTGAGCGTGGGGTGAGCGTGGGGTGTGAGCGTGGGGTGAGCGTGGGGTGAGCAGAAGAGGGTGAGCGCGTGGGAGTGAGCGAGCGAGCGAGTCGCGTGGGGAGCGCTGCGCTGCGCTATGGACTCGACCGCCCGGGTTCGATCGCCGCTGACGGCCACCACCGTTCATTGTTGCGTTCAGTTTGTTGTTGTGTTTAGTTTGTTGTCCTTCCTCCACGGGTTGGCGACGTACGGTGCGAAAGAAGTTCAACGTGTACACACGTACACGCGTGACACGGCAAGCCACTATGAGGGCCCCAGGCTTGCCCCAGGCATGCTCCAGGCTTGCCAGAGGCGTGCTCCAGGCATGCCCCAGGCATGCTCCAAGCATGCCTGGGGCATGCTCGAGGCGTGCTCCAGGCATGCTCCAGGCATGCATCTGGCATGCTTCTGGCATGCTCCAGGCTTGCCCCAGGCATGCCTGGAGCATGCTCCAAACATGCTCCAGGCGTGCTCTAGCCTTGCCCCAGGTGTGCTCCAGGCGTGCTCTAGGCATGTTCCAGGCGTGCTCACCACGTGCCGAGGGCTCGTCGCGAACGATCCTCTGCGACTCGAGCAGCTCGTTGAAGCCGTGGTCGGCCACCTTGAGCACGAAGCGGCCGTCCACCACGCAGTTGCGAGACTTAAGGCGCCCGTGCACCACCTCGCGGTGGTGCAGGTAGCGCATGCCCTGCCCGGCAAACAAGGAGACAACAACAACAACTACTACAACTACAACAACTACAACAACAAACATAACAACAACAACAATGACAACAACAACTACAACAACTACAACAACCACAGCAACAACAAACACAGCAACCACAATAACTACAACAACAACTACAACTCCTACAACAACAAACACAGCAACAACAACTGCAATGACAACAACAACTGCAATGACAACAACAACTACAACAACTACAACAACTACAGCAACAACAAACACAGCAACTGCAACAACCACAATAACTGCAATGACAACAACAACTACAACAACAACTACAACAACCACAACAACCACAATAACTACAACAACTACAACTCCTACAACAACAAACACAGCAACAACAACTGCAATGACAACAACAACTACAACAACCACAATAACTACTACAACTACAACAACAACTACAACAACCACAATTACAACTACAATAACAACTACAACAAAACTACAACAACTACAACGACTACAACAACAACCACAACAACCACATTAACTACTACAACAACTACTACAATAACAACTACTACAATAACAACTACAACAACTACAATAACTACTACAACAAACACAACAACCACATTAACTACTACAACAACTATAACAACTAAAACAACTACAACAACGGCGACGGCGGGAGCACGAGATTTGTTTGTGTCACGGTGGCTAGGTGATATTGACTAACTCGCCGGGTGTGCAGGAGGTCGTGAGTTCGATCCCGACCCTGACGCCTGAAGGATATCTCGAGTTTGCGGTGTCTCTCTCTCATAATCATCACCACGGTGGCGAGGAGATGTTGAGTACCTCGTCTGGTATGCAGGAGGTCGTGGGTTAGATCCCGACGATGATGCCTGATGGATATCACGAGTTTGCGGTGTCTCTCTCTCCCCGTGGTCGTGTGAATTTTTCTCCAGGTCCTCCGGTTTTCCCCCCTCCACATTTAGAATCAACATCACGCGTTCCGAGCATTTGGCTGCTATAAATATGGATATGACCATAAGCCACTGCCGTTGGGCTATCATTTGTGTTCGCCAGGTCGCTTTTGAAAACGAGTTAGTGGGCCTTAGCTGGTAAAATAAACTCAAAAGTGCACAGTTTAGTTCATAGACCCGCGCAGGCTGCGGCGCGGACACCGTGCAGGAGAAAAACGCAGAATGCACGTCGGCACGGCGTCGATGGAACACACCGAAACGCGACGGGACCTCTCCCTCTCTGCTAATAGGGTTTTTCCCCTTTTTTCTGCCGACAAAACTGACACCTTTTGCAAGGAATCATGCTTACATTAACCACAATACTTGCAGTCAAATGCAAACAAAAAACACGACTCTGATAATGTATGCATTGTCTTTGAAACTGATTGGTCCACACCAGAGACAGCTTTCTTTAGAGCCTAGTCTCATATGGTGTTCGACCAGATGACGCCAAAAGACGCACAGTTCAAAGATAACGCACTACCAGAGTAATGAGAGCTCGGGGTGAGCAGCTACATCATGGGACCTCCTTTGCCAGTACCAAAATATACTAATAGGGGTTTTTCCCTTTTTTCCGCCAACAAAACTGACACCTTTTGCAAGGAATCATGCTTACATTAACCACAATGCTTGCAGTCAAATGCAAACAAAAAACAATACTCTGATAATGTATGAATTGTCTTTGAAACTGATTGGTCCACACCAGAGACAGCTTTCTTTAGAGCCTAGTCTCTCCCTCTCTGTCCATATTGTGGCCGTAGCACCCTAGGGTCGTGGGGAGATGAATCCCCTGTGCCCCCCGAAGTTGTCAAGGCCTCCGACGGGCAGCTCGCTCCGACGTCGACGCTTCGACCGACCCGCGCACCCCGCACACGATCCTCGCGCCGGGCACCGCCGCACCTTGATGAGGTCGAAGAGGAGCGACGACTTGAACATCCAGTCCAGCTTCATGTCCGAGTTGCGGATGAGGTCTTCGAGGCTCCCGCGGAGGCAGTACTCAGACACCACGGCTGCCACCCCCAGGTCGCTGAAGATGCCGAGCAGCGGGTTCACGTTCTCGTGACGCATGTCCCGTAGCTATTGCTCGGGATTGGGGTGGTGGGGGAGGGGGGTGACGAGCTGGGGGTTAGCGGCGCACGGAGGTGAGTGGGTGCGCGTGTCCGTGGTTTCTTGGGAAGTTTTCATCGTCGGCGGCCGTTTCGTCGGGTCTCGGCTCGCCATCTCGATTCAAGTCGATGGTCCCGAGCGACAAAATTTTGCCGCACGTCCAGTTCTGACGAGCTGGAGCTTAATTTGGAGCTTTCGTGACTGCAGGAATTACTCTGTGGTTCTTTCGGTAAAGTCACGTATAAAGATGAAGTAATAAATTAAATGCTAGCATACGACGTTTCGATTGCAACACAAGCAATCGTCATCAGGTATAAATGAAATAGAAACACAGATCTAGTATGCTTAGAAATGTAATGTAATACAACAGAGTCGGATAACATAACAGTCAACACGCTACCTGGTTGATTAGCATTCTCAGGAAGAACGCCTTAGCTGGTCAATTAAAATCAAGATGAATTGTTTCGTTTAGAATGTTACCTTTCGGAAAACGCTCGTGGTGGCTTGCCGGATCTCACCGAACTTGCCTTTGGGGAACTTCTTCAACCAAACCCAGTCACCCTGCGTGGAGACGAATCGTCCAGTGATGAGTCAACCCCCCTCCCCTCCTCCACGCACCCGGAGGGACGGATAACGTCACCCAGAATCGCCCGTTCGGCACCGCTAAACGACTCCCGATCCTGAGATGAAAGTTGCCGAATCCGGGTTTTCGGTCTGTCCGTCACGAAAGCGCGTTATCAAGTGCAGCGGGCCAATTGCTTGGCCGCGTGAAAGTGCACAACACCCGGGCTCGTGGACTCGCAGGACATCGGAGTGGAGCGTGTTACGATTCACGGTTAAAATTTGACTTAAAGCTTTCGTGACTGCAGGAATCCATATTCTTTGGGTCTTTCGGTAAAGTCACGTAGGTAGGTTCAAAGAAATTTTTTTTTACATAAAGAGAAAATATTTTTTTAGGTAAAAAGATAATATTTTCTTTCAACCTTATCTACGTGACTTTACCGAAAGACCCAAACAATATGTATTCACGGTTAAATTACCAGATGCTCGGCGTATTAGCGGAAAATAGGGAGAGTGTAATACATTGGAGATTTAGTTGAAGATTTAGTTAATAGTTTAAATAGTCTCATACGCGGCTTATAATCTTCATGATGAGCAGGTAATTGATGTGAGAGATGATATATTTGCTATCGTAATGAATGTATATTTAGAGAGAGAGTTTGCAATTGCGTTTCACGTGTAAGTAGGAAGCCAGCTTAATGTCGATAATAATCAATGAGACCCGAGACTCAGTGAGGCTTCCGTGGGCAAACCATCAGAATCATGATAAAATAATAACGCACATAACCTTGTTCTGCCCATATTCAATATCTACAAATGAGATAATCGCGATCTTTCTGTGATTGAGAAGAAACATCGCCCGAAATTTCACCCATTGTGATTTTCCCTTTCAGGGCCCCAGTGTTGCTGACGATTGCATTGAGTTTGTGTTATTTGTGCTTGGGCCACCACTGTCAACAACAACAACAGCAGCAGCAGCAGCAGCACTGTCAACACAACAGAACGTGTCTGTAGAGTGGGCAGGTAGGTATAGTAAAGGGTTTTTAATGTTAATCAAGCGGGGCCTAGCCCCTGTAGTTCCATACTGGAGGGCTGGAAGTCACTGTCCATGGTGCTGATTCACCCCCTGCCTCAAGGCTCCAGTGGACTCAGACTGAGAATGTTTATTTCTGCTGGAGGAGGAAGACGATGGGCTATGAAGCGCTTTTTTTCACAAATGTTCAAAAGGGTTCAGAACGTTCCGACAACAAGCAATAGCAAACACACAGTCGGTGTGCAAAGTATAAGAAAGGTAAACAAATCACTAGAAATAAATATATTGTAATAAAACTAAAGTACTTTTTCATTTTACCAGGTAAGGCCCACTGAGCTATTAGCTTCTATTTTAGTCGCGACCTGGCCAAAAATGATAGCTCAACCAAGTGGCTGGTGTGGCAATTTACAGCAGATTCTAAATGTGGAGAAAAATCCACGCTACCACGTGGATAACATACCAACTCCAAATATACTGCAGCAGGCGTTAGGGTCGGGATCAAGCCCACGCCCTCCTGTACACCAGGCGAGGTAGTTAACATCTCATAGCCACCGTGGTGATGATGAGAGAGAGAGAGACACACGCAAACTCCAAATATACAGCAGCAGGCGTCAGGGTCGGGATCGAGCCCACGCCCTCCTGTATACCAGGCGAGGTAGTTAACATATCATAGCCACCGTGATGGTGATGAGAAAGAGACACGCAAACTACAAATATACAGCAGCAGTAGGCATCGTCAGGGTCGGGATCGAGCCCACGCCCTCCCGTACACCAGGCGAGGTAGTTAACATCTCATAGCCACTGTGGCGTCTCTCTCCCCCTAGGTCTCTCCCCCGCCCCCAGGTCTCTCTCCCAGCTCCCTCTCCCCCCATGTCCCTCTCCCCCCGAGGCAACTCTCCCCCACACCCCCCTCCACCCCCCCAAGGTCCTGCCGATGACTCTCGCGGCCGCCACCCACCCCGACACGGACCTCGTACACGGCCACGCTGCTGCTCTCCGGAGCGGGCGTCACGCTCTTGCCCGACACGGAGCCACGGGAAGGCCTCGCGGTGCCCTTCAGGTCGGTGACGCTGCGCCCCGCCACGCTCGTTCGGCCGTCGTCCGTGAGCTTCTCGTGCCGGGAGTTCGTGGGGCGAGGCACGCGTGGGGGGGGGGGTTGGTGGTGAGAGAGGAGACGAGGACGAGAGAGCATTGGGTGGCGGCGGTGGTGATGGAGGATTTGGGTGGCATTGAGGTAGGTGGAGGAGGGGTGAGAGGGAGGAGTATGTGGGGGGGAGTGAGGAGCAGTGGTGAGGGGTGAGGAGGAGAGGGTGATGAGTGGAGAGGGATGAGTGAGGGAGAGCAACGGAGTGAGGAGTGAGGAGCAGTGGTGAGGGGTGATGAGGAGAGGGTGATGAGTGGAGAGGGATGAGTGAGGGAGAGCAACGGAGTGGGGAGTGAGGAGCAGTGGTGAGGGGTGAGGAGGAGAGGGTGATGAGTGGAGAGGGATGAGTGAGGGAGAGCAACGGAGTGAGGAGTGAGGAGCAGTGGTGAGGGGTGAGGAGGAGAGGGTGATGAGTGGAGAGGGATGAGTGAGGGAGAGCAACGGAGTGGGGAGTGAGGAGCAGTGGTGAGGGGTGAGGAGGAGTGAGAGCGAGTGGGAGATGAGTGGAGAGGGGGACGGTGTTAGGAGGAGTGGGAAGGGGAGGAGAGGGGGTGAGGAGGAGTGAAGAGGAGTGGGGGGAGGGTGTTCGTGGTGATGGGAGAGACACGCGCCGCTCTGTAGCCCGATTACGCAGCAAGGACGTTACATTTAATCAACATCGTTTGGCACTCTCCGAGTATTTAAATAATCGATGCTTCTACCGATTATCATTTTGGTTACTCGACCGATCGGATAGCACGAGCAGGGTCGTGGGGGAGGAACACAAATCATCTCACCACCGTGTCCACGTGCGCAAGCCTATCAATGCCTTGGCTTTCCAAAAAAATAAAAATTAACCCGTAAAAACAAAGTTTTTCACTATAAATCTTTTATATGCGTGGCATCGGGGCGGCTAGAGTCCTCTCGTCCTCCGGCTTGAGATGGCTGCCACCTATGGGTCAGATGATTGTCTGGCAGCATTAAACAATAGGTAATTAACGAGTCTGTGTGCAAAATGTCAGCTCGATTGGATCACGGGAAGTGGGTTAAAAAACGACCGAAAGATTTGCACGGTCCTAAGAAAGCAAGCGAACTTAATATAAAAATCGTAGGGCAGACCACATCATCATCACCGTCAGACATCGTCTATCGCAGGGGTGGGCAACACGAGGCTCCGTCTCCTGTCGGACCGCATCCTGACGCTATTCATCGAGGGCCATCACCACCACAGGTGCATCATTTGCGGCTCTTTAAATTTCGAGTTAGTTTTAGCGCATTCGCGAACAAAATTGTCTTTTCTCGTTCTTTTGGTTGCCGACCCCTGGTCTATCCACTGCTGGATGAAAGCGTGCCCGTGCCCTTGGCCACCTGCCACGGTCCCGCACCACCAGCGATTGATCGTACCGCCTCGTGACCTGCACTGCCCCAGCCCCAGAGTGAAAATCGCGCTCCACGTGGAGTGGAGATTGCGATCCACGCGCAGAGGAGATCGCGATCTACGTGCAGAGGAGATCGTGATCTACGTGGAGTGTGGATCACGATCCACGTGCAGAGGAGATCGTGATCTACGTGGAGTGTGGATCACGATCCACGTGCAGAGGAGATCGTGATCTACGTGGAGTGTGGATCACGATCCACGTGCAGAGGAGATCGTGATCTACGTGGAGTGTGGATCACGATCCACGTGCAGAGGAGATCGTGATCTACGTGGAGTGTGGATCACGATCCACGTGCAGAGGAGATCGTGATCTACGTGGAGTGTGGATCACGATCCACGTGCAGAGGAGATCGTGATCTATGTGGAGTGTGGATCACGATCCACGTGCAGAGGAGATCGTGATCTACGTGGAGTGTGGATCACGATCCACGTGCAGAGAAGATCGTGCTCTACGTGGAGTGGGGATCACGATCCACGTGCAGAGGAGATCGTGATCTACGTGGAGTGGAGATCGCGATCCACGTGGAGTGGGGATCACGATCCACGTGGAGTGGAGGTCGCTACGGAGTTTGCTGCGGGACTCAGGACAAAGCGGAACAACCGCTGACATCAATAAGCGCGCAGAAATTGTTTTCGTTACAGCTGACGGCAAATAAAAATCCCCCGACTAAGAATTCTAACCATCGAACAAAGGCGGTGACCGCATTATCGTGCGGCGCTTTCAGACTGTGGCCGTCTGGAACGCTCTTCCTTCCGATATGAGGACGCCACTAGAGCCATGCACTTTTAAACCAGCATCTAGATTGAAGACTCATTTCTGTAGAACTGCTCTTTTGTGTTTAGTTCGTTGTCCTTCCCCCGCGCACCTCCGATTAGCGTGGTTGGCTACGTACGGCGCGAGTTCAACGTACACACGCACGTTTAAAACAACTTCTCTAGATTTTAGCAGCTCTTAAGCCTACTTCAGCAATTGTTTCTTGCTGTGGTTGTCCCGAAACGTCGTGATTTATTTATTTTTATACGTTACACCTACGTGACTTTACCGAAAGAACCAAAGAGTATAAAACAATATTTCTCCATCGACGGCGCTGGTAATTGGCAAGTCTGTCGTCCCGAACGGGAAATATTATCCGGGTTAAATCTACCCGGGCAATCGTTTGTCACGATTGGGGCTTCTGGTGGTGAAACGCGCAGCCTGCTGATGTCCACTAGAACAGATCCACGGTGCTAGGCAAGCACTGGCCACCGCTAAGATGCGTGGACGTCTTTGGGATTCAGGAATAGAAAAGACTCATATTCTTAGGTTTTTTCGGTAAAGTCACATAGGTAAAAAATGAAAATTAATAAAAGTAAAATAAAAAAATATTTTATTTTTATTTTACTTTTATTAATTTTTATTTCGGTAAAGTCACATAGTCACATAGGTAAAAAATTTAAATTAATAAAAGTAAAAGAAAAATATAATAAATATTAAATTTTCTTTACATTTTTTTATTTTGATTTAACTTTTATTAATTTACATTTTTTATTTTAATAAAAAAAAATTTTTTTAACAAAAATAAAATATTTCCTTTATTTTTATTTTACTTTTATTAATTAAAATTTTTTACCTACGTGACTTTACCGAAAAGACCTAAGAATATGAATCCTTGCAGTCACGAAAGCTTCAAATCTAGAATAGAAAAGACGTTCAACCGGGAGATGGCCCTCCGCGCGGAGGCTCCGGCACTCGGTGAGAGCGAATCTGCGGGTGGCAGAGTTCGTCTGAGTTGGTAGCGCGTACTTTGCGGCTCTGCTGTGGGTTGATGAAGGTCAGGTCATCCAGGGTCATCAGGATCTTGTTGGGACCTTTCACCATCTGGAGCTGATGGATTCTTCTCCTGCCCACGGGGAGAGTTGGGGGGGGGGGCAGACAGAATCCGATGGTTAACGCAGACATGATTCCTTGTAAAAGGTTTCAGTTTGGTGTTTTAACAACTTAACACAACTGTTTTGTTGCCAGATAAAAGAGGAAGAAACCTATTCTCATATTGTGGAACTGGCAAAGGAGGTCCCATGATGTAGATGCTCACCCCGAGCTCTCATTACTCTGATAGTGGCATTATCTTTGTGCTGTACGCCTTTTGGCATCCTCTGGTCTAAAACCGTTTGAGACGAGGCTCAAAAGAAAGCTGTCTTTGGTGTGGACGGTGGCTATAAGATGTTGACCACCTCCCCTGGTATGCAGGAGGTCGTGCGTTCGATTCCGACCCAAACGCCTGCTCTAACATTTGGAGTTTGCGTGTCTATCTCTCTCCGCCTGTGGAGTGGGGGGACCCATCTCGTGTTCGCTTTAAGAAGCGGCGCTGTGGAATTCCAACAACGAGCGGTCGTGAGCCACTCGCGCAGCCGGTGAAATTCGAACAAAAGGGACCATAAATAATTCTAGATTTGAAGCTTTCGTGACTGCAAGGATTCATATTCTTCAGTTTTTTCGGTAAAGTCACGTAGGTAAAAAAATTAAAATTAATAAAAGTAAAATTAAAATAAAATAAAAATCACGACGTTTCGGAGGCAACACAAGCTTCCGTCTTCAGGTGACACAGCCATCGTGCTGTGACAGTTCCTCCTGAAGACGGAAGCTTGTGTTGCCTCCGAAACGTCGTGATTTTTATTTTATTTTTATTTTACTTTTATTAATTAAATTTTTTTACCTACGTGACTTTACCGAAAAAACCTAAGAATATGGACCACAAATAAATGAAAAACTCCATCCAGCTGACGAAAAGTTAACAAAACAACTCCGACGGCACGGCTGAAACCCCGCGCGCCGGAGGGTAGAAGTGGGGGGTGGAGAGGGTAGAGAGAGAGGCGGGGGGGGGTCACTCTCAATCCATCCAGCAGTGGATCGAGTTGACAGCGAGTGGGGGTTCCGCACGGCACCTCAGGAAGAAGGTGAGTGCCACTCCTCCCAGCACGAAGCAGAGCGCCACCACCATCACGAGCAGGATGAGGCTGGGCTCCACTCCTGGCGAACGCAGCGACGCGGGTCGACAACCAGGATGAGAAGGAGAATCGGATTGTTGTTTCGAAATCGGTCAAAAAAAAAAACGCGACAACAACAACCCCCACCTCAATATTTCAAGAGCCGCAATGAACTGCTGGCGGTGAATACGAGACGGTGGTGGTCCCTTAAGTGAGTAAGAGAGAGTGAGTGAGAGTGAGTGAGAGAGAGAGTGAGTGAGAGAGAAAGTGAGAGGGTGAGAGAGTGAGAGTGAGTGAGTGAGAGTGAGTGAGTGAGAGTGAGTGAGAGAGAGTGAGCGAGCGAAAGCGTGAGAGAATGAGAGTGGATTAGGGAGAGTGAGTGAGAGGGAGAGTGAGAGAGAGTGAGAGAGAGAGAGTGAGACAGAGAGAATGAGAGAGAGTGAGTGAGACAGTGTGAGTGAGAGTGAGAGAGGGTGAGTGAGTGAGAGTCAGAGAGAGTGAGAGTGAGAGAGAGTGAGAGAGAATGAGTGAGCGAGACAGTGTGAGTGAGAGAAAGTGAGACAGAGAGAATGAGAGACAGAGAGAGTGAGTGAGACAGTGTGAGAGAGTGAGAGAGAGAGTGAGTGAGAGGGAGAGAGAGTGAGACAGAGAGAGTGAGTGAGACAGTGTGAGTGATTGAGAGTGAGTGAGTGAGAGTGAGTGAGCGAGCGAGAGAGAGTGAGTGAGGCAGTGTGAGAGAGCGAGAGAGTGAGTGAGGGGGAGACAGAGTGAGCGAGACAGTGTGAGTGAGACAGAGAGAATGAGAGACAGCGAGAGTGAGCGAGACAGCGTGAGCGAGCACGCTTGCTTCGTGTCGAGTCCCCTTTACCCGCCACGCAGGGACGCGTGGGATCAAACCAGCACTCGGGATCGGCCGCTGGGGGTGCCCCAGTCCCGGGGAAGTGGAGGCGCGACCCGGGCACGGGCTCCACCTCGCCGATCTCGCTGTCCAGGGTCAGCACCGCGTTCAGGGTGTCCCCGTCTCCGTCCGTGTCCAGCACGGCGTAGCGAGCCACGGGGCGACCCGCGGCATCGGTGCGAAGCACGCGGCTGAGGCCGTCGGCTCGGAGGTCGGACAAGCGGCCGAGTTGGAGGGCGCTGGCGAGCAGCGAGACGGCGTCGTAGACGGAGCCGAAGAGGGGGGAGATCTTTGGGGGGAGGGGGGGGTTGGTGCTGATGATTATTGGCATCGGTGGCAACGACGTCTGCAATCTTGGACGTCGTCGTCGTCGTCGTCGTTTTGAACGGCGTCCGTTTATGTGCACGTGGTGGAAAGCGGAGGACCCGGAGAAAGCGTATGCATGCGAGGGGGTAACACTCTATCCCATCGAGATGGAACATTTTACTGGAACGCCTTCTCGTGGCGAGCATGGGTATTGAACCCTCTCCTCAACACCCCCGGGAAGAAAGGAGTTGCGCACAGCATCTGTGCAGTGACCCACCAAGCTATACAACTATTTAAACTATTATATCACTGGGTAAGGCCCAACTTTTTTTTAGAAGCGACCTGATCACACATGATAGTTCAACCAAGTGAGCTTATCGTGTGCTAATGTATATCAGCCAAATAGTCTAAACGCGTTGATGTTGATTCAAAATGTTGAGGGGGAAATCCAAGAAGACCCGGAGAAAAGTCCACGCGACCACGAGGAAAGAGAGAGACACCACAAACTCCAAATATACAGCAGCAGGCGTCAGGGTCTGGAATGAACCAACAACCTCTTGTGTGCCAGGCGAGGTAGTTAACATCTCCTCGCCACCGTGATGATGATGAGAGAGAGACACGGCAAACTCCAAATATACAGCAGCAGGCGTCAGGGTCGGGATCGAACCCACAACCTCCTTCATATCAGGCTATGTAGTTAACATCTCTTAGCCACCGTGATGATGATGAGAGAGAGAGACCGCAAACTCCAAATATACAGCAGCATGCGTCAGGGTCGGGATGGAACCCACAACCTCCTGTACACCAGGCGAGGTAGTTAACATCTCCTAGCCACCGTGATGATGATGAGAGAGAGAGAGAGACACCACAAACTCCAAATATACAGCAGCAGGCGTCAGGGTCGGGATCGAACCCACAACCTCCTGTAGACCAGGCGAGGTAGTTAACATCTCTTAGCCAGCGTATTACATGCCACGTGGAGCATAACCACCACCACCACCGCCCGACACGAGCGAACTTACCTCCCTGGCCTCAACACCCTGGGGCATCTCCCCGCGGCTCCGCGCGTCCCGCACGGCGTCTCGGAACGAGGCGTTGGGCGACGAGAGGAGGCTGAGTGTCAAGGTGGCGTCGTACGCCTGCCGCAGGGCCGGGTCGTCGGCCAGCTGTGGGTACGTCTCGAGAGGGCCGTGGCCGAGGCTGCAGAGCATCGGCTCGAGCGGCACGAACACGTGGCTGCCCCGCGTGAGCCCGAGGCGCGCCGCCGTCTGGAGGAGCACGCTCTCTTCGGCGCCTCCGAGCAGCGACGAGCTCATGCACATGATGACCACTGCGGGGGTGGCAGGGGTGGTGGCAGGGGTGGTGGTAGGGGTGGTGGCAGGGGTGGTGGTAGGGTGGTGGCAGGGGTGGTGGTAGGGGTGGTGGGGGTGGTGGCAGGGGTGGTGGCAGGGGTTGTGGCAGGAGTGGTGGCAGGGGTGGTGGCAGGGGTGGTGGCAAGGGTGGTGACAGGGGTGGTGACAGGGGTGGTGGCAGGGGTGGTGACAGGGGTTGTGGCAGGAGTGGTGGCAGGGGTGGTGGGGGTGGCAGTGGTGGTGGGGGTGGCAGGGGTGGTGGCAGGGGTGGTGGGGGTGGCAGGGGTGGCGGGGGTGGCAGGGGTGGTGGCAGGGGTGGTAGGGGTGGCAGGGGTGGTGGCAGGGGTTGTGGCAGGGGTGGTGACAGGGGTGGCAGGGGTGGTTGCAGAGGTGGTGGGGGTGACAGGGGTGGCAGGGGTGGTGACAGGGGTGGTGGGGGTGGCAGGGGTGGTAGCAGGGGTGGTGATAGGGGTGGTGGGTTAATGCGGCGCGCGCGACGTTTGTAGGGACTGCAGGCCACACAGAATCGGAATATTTCTACCGGTGGAATCCGATGAGCTAGAAAGCTTTTTTTTCCACTGATGTCAGAATCAGAATCTGTTTTTCTAACGGAGGAATCCGATGATATTTAAGGCAATTTTTTTCACAGATGTCAGAATCAGACTCTGTATTTATACTGGAGGAATCCGATGAGCTATAAAACTCTTTTGTTTCACAGATGTCAGGCAGGGGCGGGTCAGACCCTGACAACGACAAACGATACAAAGGCAAGTATGGAAAAGGTAAAAAAAAAATCTAAATATATAAAGATGAAAGTAAACTTATTGTATCTTACCAGGCAAAGCCCACTGAGCGATTCGCTTCTCTTTCAGAAGCGACACTGGCCACAAATGACATATCAACGAAGTGGCTGATCACGTAGACATTAATAGCAGCTACATGTACTCTGAACGCGCCAAACGGAGAAAAATCCACGCGGAGAGAGAGAGAGACACGCAAACTCCAAATATACAGCAGCAGGCGTCAGGGTCGGGATCCAAAACCACGACCTGTGTACCAGGCGAGGTAGTTAACGTATCGTAGCCAACGTGACGATGAGAGAGAGATACACGCAAACTCCAAATATACAGCAGCAGGCGTCAGTGTCGGGATCGAACCTACGAGGTCCTGTGTACCTGGCGAGGTAGTTAACATCTCCTAGCCACGGTCGCCTTTGTCTCCAGTGCTGATGTTAGCACGCAGCCGCATGTATTAATTTGAGGCTGAGTCAAACTAGGGGAGGCTCTGGACCGGTTCAAATAATCGTCACTGGTGTTGGCCGTGAGCAGTAATCGAACTCGAGTCGCCGGGATTCGTAACACAGCGCGCTAACCACTATGCCACCGCTCCCCAGTAGACTTACACACGGAAGACAAAGATCGCCCGTATAACCTGAACAGACTGTTGGGGCAAGTGCTGTTAGCGAGCAACTATGAAGGCCGGCACGGCACACGAGGGGGTGGGTAAGCCAGCACCACGCCCGACCGCCTTTGTCTCCCCAGTGGCGATGTTTACACACCGCACCAGCTACTCATTTCAGGCTGAGTCGACCTAGGGGAGGCCCAGGGCCGGTTAAAATAATCGTCACTGGTGTTGGCCGTGAGCGGGAATCGAACCCGTGTCGCCGGGCTCATAGCGCCACGCGCTAACCGCTACACCACCGCTCCCTACACACACGCACAGACACTCGCACTCACTCACGAACCCTCACGTACTCACTCACTCACGCACACTCACTCACACACTCACACACGCACTCACACACTCACTCACACACTCACTCACACACTCACACGCGCACTCACGCACTCACATACACTCACTCACACACACGCACTCACTCACACACTCACTCACTCACACACTCACTCACACACACACTCACACACGCACTCACTCACACACACACTCACACATTCACACACTCACTCACACACACTCACGCACTCGCTCACGCACTCACTCACGCACTCACTCACTCACACACACTCGCACACACACTCACGCGCTCACTCACACACTCATACACTCACACACCCACTCACACACTCACACACGCACTCACACACACACGCACTCACTCACTCTACCACTCACACACTTACTCACTCACTCACACACTCACTCACTCACGCACTCACTCACTCACACACTCACTCACACACTCACTCACTCACACACTCACACACACTCACACACTCACTCACACTCACTCACACACACACACTCTACCACTCACACACTCACACACACACTCACTCACGCAGTCACTCATTCACTCACTCACACACACTCACACACTCACACTCACTCACACACGCGCACTCACACACGCACTCACTCACTCTACCACTCACACACTCACACACACACTCACTCACTCACTCACTCACGCACTCACTCACACACTTACTCACTCTACCACTCACCCACACACTCCCTCACACACTCACACACTCACTCACACACTCACTCACTCACACACTCACTCACACACTCACCCACACACTCACCCACACACTCACACACACACTCACTCACCCACACACTCACACACTACACTCACACACACACACTCACACACACCCACCCACTCACACACACGCACACACTCACTCACCCACACACTCACTCACACACTCACCCACACACTCACACACACACTCACACACACACTCACCCACACACTCACTCACACACTCACACACACACTCACACAAACACTCACACACACACTCACCACTCTACCACTCACCCACACACTCACTCACACACTCACTCACCCACACACTCACACACTCACTCACGCACACACTCACTCACACACACACTCACACACACACTCACCCACCCACTCACCCACTCACCCACACACGCACACACTCACGCTTGATCTTCTGCGCCCTCTGTATGAGCGACAGAGCCTGACGCGCGCTCTCCTCCCTCGCCCCCGCCCGCGCCACGACCCCGACCGGCACCCCCAACCTCCTGAGCGCTGCTGCCAACTGCGCCGCCACCGCTCTCCACGGCGCCGTATCGGCGGCCACCACAGCCGTGTGGGCCCACCCGAAGTGGCGCAGAAGCAGCAGCAGAACCTCGGCCGACGGAGGAGTCGCTGACACCACGAGGGACAACGGCGGCGACGTAGAAGCCCGTGGCGCAGAGTCGTTGCCTCCACTTGCAGGGATCGAACCCGTCTCGCTCAACGTCAAAGTCCAAGGATCGGGCTGGCAATTCAGCGGAGCGATGGGGACGCCGTGCAGCGTGGCGAGCGCCACCGCCGCCTCGCAGTGTCCGGGATGAGTTGGTCCCACGATGCTGGAGTTCCTCGGGTCCGCCGAGACGAGAGTCGCGCAGAGATCCTCTAACGCTTGGGCAGCGTCGCAGCTTTCCGGTACGACGGTGACCTCCAGTCTCGGCCCCGTGTAGCCGGGATCCCTGTTGAGACGCGACGTGGCCAGTCGCACCGCTTGCTCGGGGAAGACGTCGAGGGTTGATGATGACGACGACGACTCGCAGCTCGCGCTCGGGGTCAGAACCAGGAGACGGTGGCGACCCGGCTCCGGTGTTGAGCACGAGGACAAGGAGGCGCAGGTCAGGGCAAAGGCGAAGAAGGTTGCCAGCGGACGTGGCCGCGTCGCTCCGGCGAGGTTGACGCTGTCCCAGACGGCGGCGAGGCTCGTGGTCGCGGCAGTGACGATCGTGTCGACCGAGGGGGTGATGCGAATGAGTTTGCCGACGCCGCTGTCGACAATGATCCCGACGGCGTCCGAGCCGATGATGCCGCCTGAGCCTTTGAGTCCACTCGGAACGACACCGCTGATGATGCTGGTGATGATGGTGGCGATGATCCTGGTGATGATCGCTTCGTTTCTCACGACGCTCCTGTGGCCTGAGGCAGTTCTGATATCCCCGTGTCTCACGTGTCTCTTCCTGCTGCTGCAGCAGCTGCCACTCTCAGCATTGCCACAGCTGCTGGTGTTGCTGCTGATGCAGCTCCTTCTGATGCTGTTCCCATCAGCATTGCTACAGCTCCTTCTGATCCTGTTCCCATCAGCATTGCTACAGCTGCTGCTGATGCAGCTGCTACTCTCAGCATTGCTACAGCTGCTGCTGCTGATGCAGCTCCTTCTGATGCTGTTCCCATCAGCATTGCTACAGCTGCTGCTGATGCAACTGCTTCTACGGCTGTCGCTATCAGCATTGCTCCAGCTGCTGCTGCTGATGCAGCTCCCTCTGCTGATGTTCCCATCAGCATTGTAACAGCTGCTGCTAATGCAGCTGCTTCTGCTGCTGTTCCCATCAGCATTGCTCCAGCTGCTGCTGCTGCTGCAGCTACTGCTGTCGCCTTTGCTCCAGCTGCTGCTGCTGCAGCTACTGCTGTCGCCTTTGCTCCAGCTGCTGCTGCTGCAGCTATTGCTGTCGCCTTTGCTACAGCTGCTGCTGCTGCTGCAGCTACTGCTGTCGCCTTTGCTCCAGCTGCCGCTGCCGCGCTGACAGCATGCTATTCTGCTCTTCTCTATGTCGCTTTTAAGGGCGACTCTCCCGCTGAAATTGTCAAAAGTCGTTTTTCTTTTAAGGACCGCGTTCCTGCTGCTACTGCTGCTGCTGCTGTTGCCGTGACTTTCTGCTCTTGCTGCCGCTGCTACTTCCACTGCTGCTGCTGCTGGTGTTGTCAATTTCTCGAAGGCACCACCTCGCGTCCGCTGGATTCTCGGGGTGTCCAGCAGGCGACCGCGACCTCCCGAAGCCCACTGCGACATCGCCTGCTGCTTCGCTGCCGGAGGGGAAGACTTTCTTCGCGAGGTCTCCTTGATGGAAGGGGGGGGGGGAAATAATAAATGAACACAAATAAATGATGAAATATAAATAATTTTAACCATCGGTATTAACCCCATCCCCCCCCACCCCGCCTCTCCCAGGGTGAAAATAATTCACACCAAAGACGAAGATCGCCGCTTGTCGTCTTTTATTTTCAAGTTCTGTTCGCGAGTTGCACCTATGAAGGCTGGACACGGCGGCACGGGTAGACGGTGGGGTCGGTCTTGCCAGCCCGACGTTTCGGCCACCTATGCCTCTCCCAGTTGTGACGATTCACGCAGCGTACGCACGAGCGTTGACCTTGGGGGGGCCTGTCCCAGGGCAGGTTCAATTATACTCGTAGGTTTTTTCGGTACAGTCACGTAGGTAAAAAATAAAATTAATAGAAACAAAATAAAATAACACAAGTCTCCGTCATCAGGTGGGACCGTCACAGCTAGCTTTACTGTATCAAGTGACTTTACCGATAAAACCTAAGAGTATGAATCCTTGCAGTCACGAAAGCTTCAAATCTAGGTTCAATTAAATTGGCCTCCAATTGTGGCCGTGAGCGGATGTCGGTACGCGTCGCTCTGTGCGTGAAACCACTACGCTACCGCTTCCCGTCCACCCTCCCCTCCCCGCCTCCCACACAAAGTCTAAGCTCGTGTGCTGTTTCATTCAGACTCTGTCGCCTCGACGGACCTGGTTTTCACCTGAGGACGGCTGCTTGCGTTGTGGCCGAAACGTCGTGAGAATAATTTTATTATGTTTTATTTTTATTATTTTATTACTTCCCTTCTACGTGACTTTACCGAAATAATCAAAAAGATGAAAAGTCTAAATGCCCACCCCGTATAGCCTTCGCCAGCCCGTAAGGGCAAGTGCTGTTGGCGAGCACCTATTAAGATCGGCACTGCACACGAGGCTGGGGTGGAAGGGGTGGGGGGTCAGCACCAGATGTTGCCTTCCCAGCTCTGACATTTGCGCAGCGCAGCGGGAACTCGTTAAGAGCCTAGTCGAGGGGCGATGCCCGGATCGTCGATTCAGGGGGGCGAAGTGGGGTCGTCGCTTCCGTGCGCGCAGTGAGCAGATCTCTGCACCACCGCTCCCCACCCCCGCCCACCACTCGCGACTATAAATACACACGGCATCCGCATTGTTAATTACTCAAACGATGCATAGGGAAATCGCTCAAATATTAAGGCAGAATTTTTTTTTTGGGGGTGGGTGGTGTTTGTTCTCGTCCTCTGATCTGGCCGGTGGCGTGAGTCCGGTTCGCATTGTGTCCAGGCCCTGGGAAAACCTCACAGAGGCGGCAAACAGCTGAGGTCAGACCTCCACATTCTATTCCCACTGCCATCTCCGAGACCTAACCCACCCCGTATCCGTTCCCTGGCCGTACAATACACGTTGTGGGTGGGGTGGGGTGGGTTAGGGGTGGGGGGGGGTTGCAAACATCAGATTAACAGTCCACAAAAAGTCGTGTTTCTCTCTTTCTCTTATGTTCCACTGAAGCTATTGTTGTTATTGTTATTACACTGGCCGGAATTTGACCACAATGCAGATGATTGTTGTTGCGTTTAGTATGGCAAAACTATTAGCGGCGTCGACGGTGAAATCATCTTTTTTTTATCGAGAGAGAAGTCCTATGATGGCAGGCAAACCCCGAGGCCAGTCAAGAGCTCGTTTGAACAATGCCGGCAGTGATGGGAGCGTTGCTACAGTCGCGTCCTGCCTAGTAGTTACTAGCAGTGCCCGATTATCGTAGTGGCACAAGTAGCTACATATGCTACGGACGGGCCCCGCACTTTCAAGGGCCCCGCGCTAAACGTTTTCAAGATATCAATTCCGGTTCAGTGACTCTGCACTTGCTCTATTACTATAGTACTATACCGCCTTCAACTTTTACGACGACTGGGTGTTTAAGGTTAGCGATTTGTCGTATTATCTGGCCGTATAGCAAATGCAAATATACAATTACTTTACTGTGCAACAAAAAAATGTGTGTGTTTTTATATTTATGTGTTTCTTTATTTATTTAGGGCCCCTTTCTAACATCATGCTACAGGCCTCGCACTAGCTTCATCCGGCGCTGGTTACTCGGATGAGACGATCTTCATGTCTGCACAGTAGCAAGGGCTACAGTGGATGGAGCGATAGTCGCATCCTCTGCCATTCACTAACTGCTACATCGCATCCACCACACTGTGTTCAACCACCACAGTGCATGCAGGTCATAACAGTTCACACACTCACCCACTAACTCGCCCACTCACCCACCCACTCACTCATCCGCTCTCTCACTCACCCACTAAATCACCCACTCACTCACTCACTCACCCACCCACTCACTCATCCGCTCCCTCACTCACCCACTAACTCACCCATTCACTCACCCGCCCACTCACTCATCTGCTCTCTCACTCACTCACCCACTAACCTACCCAATCACTCACCCACCCACGCGCACACTCACCCGCTCTCTCACTCACCCACTAACTCACCCACTCACTCACCCACCCACTCACCCGGTCTCTCACTCACTCACCCACTAACTCACTCACCCACTCACTCACTCACCGACCCACTGACTCACTCACCAGGTCTCTCACTCACTCACTCACCCACTAACTTACCCACCCACTCACTCACCCACCCGCTCACCCACTAACTCACCCACTCACTCACCCACCCACGCGCACACTCATCCGCTCTCTCACCCACTAACTCACCCACTCACTCACCCACCCACTCACCCGGTCTCTCACTCACTCACCCACTAACTCACTCACTCACCCACTAACTCACCCACTCACTCACTCACCCACCCACCCACCCACTCACTCACTCACCCGGTCTCTCACTCACTCACTCACCCACTAACTTACCCACCCATTCACCCACCCGCTCACTCACCCACTAACTCACCCACTCACCCACCCGCTCACCCACTAACTCACCCACTCACTCACCCACCCACGCGCACACTCACCCGCTCTCTCACCCACTAACTCACCCACTCACTCACCCACCCACCCGCTCACTCACTCACCCACCCACTCACCCACCCACCCGCTCACCCACCAGCTCACTCACCCACTAACTCACCCACTCACTCACTCACTCACCCACCCACTCACCCACCCACTCACCCACCCACCCGCTCACTCACCCACTAACTTACCCACCCACTCACTCACCCACCCGCTCACCCACTAACTCACCCACTCACTCACCCACCCACGCGCGCACTCACTCACTCACTCAACCACCCTGTCACTGCTGGTTACAAACATTCTCTATCTGTTTCTTTCATTTGCACTGCGTCATTTTGGAATTACACCCCATCTTCTCTCTTTCCCCAAGTTCACACGATAACCTAGCTCAGTTGAAGAAACCTGTTACACTGTTGATCTATTACAACCGCTATCGTGATGTTTGTTACTGGCCGCTTGAAGTTTTGAGGCTCGAACTCAGAAGTTTGTTTGAAAAAACATCATTGAAACAGCTACCGCATTCTCAAGAAAGTCTGACGCACCCCAATCTCGTGGCTTCTTAAAACACAAGGGAGTAAGAGCGTCGTGTAATCCTGAGAATACGGTAAATGAGTGCAGAAACTGGGACAATAACGTTTGATGCGGTGATTGTTTGCGATAGTTTTCTATAAACGCCTATCCAATGGATTACTGAAATCCCATAGCTTTTCGAATAAAAATGTTACACGCAAGCTCAGAGTAAACATGAGACTCGAAGCGGTGCTCATGTTGAGAGCACTGAGCCACTGCTGAGAATGCCACATTCCGTCCGAAGCGGTTCCCCCTATTTTATCGACCGCGGAGTGATTGATGATGGGCTGTGTCAACCCACCAACCAGGGATTGAACTCGTAAACTTCCGTTTGCCATCCATGATAGAGATTTTTTGAGGTTTGTTCGCTTAAATTAATAAATGTGTCGTTAAACCCGTCACCACCCGACACAACCAACTAGTAAGGGTTTGCCACGTAAAGACAACGTCAATTCGTCACTAGTACAGCACTAACCGGTGTGTTGGAGAGCAAAGCCACAACATTTACAGATCTGAGGACGACGTTTCTCCAGTAATTATAATTACAGTTTATGTGACAAACCTTACTAGTTGGCTGTGTCGGGTGGTGGCGGGTTTAACGACACATTCATATATTTACGCGATCTAACCCCCAAAAAACTCTGCTATGGATGATATTGGTCGCGAAAGCCTCCGTAGGTGGTAAACTTATTTAGATTTATTTTAAGACTGGCATTAAAACACTTTCATTGTTTTACACTTTCAGTTAATATATGTTTTCGTCTTTTTTGGTTCTTCTTTTCTCGATGATTTTTAAACACGGAAATAAAATTTACTGAAGAGCAACGAATGCAAATAGTTGTGTTATGCATGCTAACACTTTAAGATGT